ACCCTCTCCCAAGGCTCCCTGAATAATGTGGACTCAATAATCCGCCTTTGAAAAAGTGCATTTATCAATATACCTGTATCCCCTCCAGTAATCCGTGCTCAATAATCTCGATTCCCTCAGCTTTTCCCAGAAGTGGTCAAATTTAGGTAGAATAAGGAAGAATTGGACTCCATAGAGATAGACACACACTGAGCAATATATTCACTAGCGGGATGTCGGATTTGGGCTTGTCTGGAGTTGCATTTATGCATTTCAATGTCTGCACACACAGCAACAGGGCGAGCACTTTTTTTTAAATCTAGTACATATATTTTCTTGGCTATTGTGCTCCAGCCGTGAATTTGCGAACTGTTTCTGCACTGCCCATGACCCTGCAAAGCAATGCAGCGCAGGTTTCTTTAAAAAAAAAAAAAACCTAATTCCACCCTAGAAGTGGGGGTGGGTTTCTCAAGGTATTGCAACATTTACTAGCTGAGCATCTTTAAAAAGAAAAAACAAAACAAATCCAATCTCTGCCTGTCTTTCCAAATCACTGAAGCTCTCGTCCTGCAAAAATAAATAAATGAATAAATAAGCACAGTCAGATCAAGCGCCTCCGTTCATCAGCTCGAAGAGGTTAAAGAGCTCCCAAATCTTCTCGAGGTTGCGGGAGCTAAATACTAGGAGAAAAAAAAAAATCCCCCTCTTTTTCCCGGACACCCAAAAGGATGGGGAGCGTGAAGCAGGAGCTCCAGCCCAGTTTAGCGGACACAGAGCCTCCTTCACCCGTGCAAAATAAGCCACTGACCGTAGCTGTTTCCCACCTTTTGTGAGATTCGGGATCACTCTAGGAAATTTCCAAAGGTATATGGGGCTTTCCCGACTTTTGCATTTGTAATATAGGCTCCGAGGTGCACGCTTTGTCATTGCACCGAATACAAGGAGATACATAATGTCTCCGCACTCTCTGCATATAACCAATGTCTACACACCCTCTGCGTTTGTAAAGCAATATATGCCTCCGTACATACACACATACCATTTAAAACACACCCCTACAGAGGAACACGCAGGAGATCTACACATCATTACATATAATAATATAGCTGGTTGTGCTTGTATATGTCTATGCAAGTATGTATCTATAAAGCAGAAGTTCTCAAATATTATATATTATATATAATATACCTATATATACACAGAGATACGCAGAGCGTTTTAATACACACTTATATAAATTACATGCACACAGCTATGCTTCACACACATACGTGACTTACATGTATATTCTATACGTATACCGATGCCCAAATCATTCAAAGCAGCGGATGCACACTGTTATACGCACACACCATTATATACGTTTGTGTAAATATATATATATGTATTTA